CACAGGTAGGGTGTTGGGGGGGAGGGAGCTTGGAGTAGGAGCATGCTCTCTGTCCCAGCCTGGGAGGTACAAGGGTGGCTGGTGGAGGCCCAGGAGTGAATTGACCCTTGCCTTGCAGTGTCACCCTACCTCAAGAGCCTTTCCATGGTGACGGCCAATAAGCTGCTGCACCTGCTAGAGGCCTTCTCTACCACCTGGTTCCTCTTCTCTGCTGCCCAGAACCACCACCTGGTCTTCTTCCTCCTGGAGGTCTTCAACAACATCATCCAGTACCAGTTTGATGGTGAGGCACCTGCCTCAGAGGCAGGGGGCAGAACGACCAGTGAGTGAGGGTACCTTCCTGTCTAAGGAGGTCACAGCCTAGGAACTGCCTACAAGGAGGTGCTAGCCTTCTGCCTCTTGGTTCATTCTTTCAGTGTGCATTTACTGAGCACTTGCAGTGTACCTGGGTGCAGGGGATATAGTAGCGAACAAAGAAGATGTACTTCCTGCTCTTTGGACCTCAGAGTTGGGCATAGAGTCACAGAGGGAGACTTTAAACAGACTTATTCCCCCCCCCTCCATTAAAGGATTCATCTGAAACTTGATGGCAGACAAGCTCAGAGTGGTAGGACCCTGAGGGCTATCACAACAGCTGCCCTGCTCAATATCCCAGCTGCCAGCTGCCAGGTGTAAATTCAGGACTTGCCACATGTTAGCTCTGTGACGTTGACATGTTACTTAACTTCTCTGAGCCTCAGTTTCTTCATTTCTAAGATGGTCATAATGGTAGAGAGCCCCTGTCTCAGAGGGCATTGAGAAAATTAAGTGAAATAAGCTACAAAAAGTACTTTGCATAGTGTCTGAACTGATCTGTAAGGGATGAATGGGAGTGGGGCAAAGGCCCTGGGAAGGATGTTGAACTGAAAGTAGGACAGTGTGGCATGACATAGGATTTGAAAGGTGAATAGGGCAATGAAGACCCTAGGAAGCATTTGTGTCTACCCCTGAGAGTTGTGGGAACTAGGAGTTAGATGGAGAACAGGTACATGCCATGTTCCCTCCTCCACTTCTCCTTGGCTTAGGGAGTCAAACTATTTAACAGCAGGCTTGGTGTGGACAGTGCCAGGCCGGGCCCACCCCAAGGTGACAGGTATTGTGAAGGGGTCTCAAAGGAGCTAGAAGAGGGGTGTTTATGAGAGCTCAGGCCAGAAGCTGTTCATCCCCTGCTCAACCCTCTGTGGAATAGCTATGTGTTCCCACAGCTGCGCCAGCCATGCCCTCACTCCCTCTCTGGCCCCCTGTACCATCTTCTTCCTCTGTGGAAGATACTCTCTTGTCCTCTAAACTCCTTTTCCCTAAACTGGCCCAGCCCAGATTGGGTGGGGGGGGGGGCAATGAGAGGCCTCCCTAAGGCAGAGTCCTATGCTTGCTCCCTATAGGCAACTCCAACCTGGTCTATGCCATCATTCGTAAGCGTGGTGTCTTCCACCAGCTGGCCAACCTGCCCACAGATCTGCCCACCATCCACAAGGCTCTCCAGAGGCGCCGGCGGACACCTGAGCCCCTGTCCCGCACAGGCTCTCAGGAAGGCACCTCCATGGAGGGCTCCCGCCCCGCCGCCCCTGCAGAGCCTGGTACCCTCAAGGCCAGCCTGGTGGCTACCCCAGGTCTGGTGCTGGCAGGCAGGAGGGGTTGTGGCTACCAACACCATCAGAGGATGGGCGTGATCTCTGGGGACTCTGAGGGGGTGGAGATGAAGAAGAGGTGGGGGTGGAGGTATTGGGTGGGTTCCGGAATTGTAGCTCATGGGGGCAGGGCCTCAAGGATGGAAATGGCTCTTGGAGGCATGGGCACAGGGGTCGGGGTGAGGGGAGATTAAACACAGTGTCTCTGCAGTGGGCGGAGGACAGGGGGCCTCATGGGGGTTAGGCCAGAAGTGGCACCATAGTGGTTCCTCACGAATTTCTGTGTCCCATCCAGGCATTGACAAACTGACAGAGAAGTCCCAGGTGTCAGAAGATGGCACCTTGCGATCCCTGGAGCCTGAACACCAGCAGAGCTCAGCTGAAAGCAGCCCAGTCAAGGGGGTGGGTGTTAGGGACACCTGAGGAAGATAAAATTAGGTGTTGCCCTGGCTTCCCTGATGTGGGCTGGGCCATGGCACTCTTGGGTCACCCATAGCCAGACAGGTGCCAGTGCCCAGGGCATCAGGGTTGACACTACTGACTGGGGGGGGGGGAATGTGCTTACAGACCCCTCCCTTGTTTACTGGTCACAGTAAAGCCCTTGACCTTCAACTTTCTCATCCGTCAGTCTTATCTGAGGCTGGCCTTTACCCAGCCTGCTCTGGGGCCCTAAACCTGTCACTGGGCTGGGCTGGGTTGGGCAGGGCTGGGCCTGGGGGCCGGGGCAAAGGGTGCAAGGCTGGGCTTGCCCCTCTGTTGGAAGCGAGCCCCCCCAGGGGCCATGGAGAGACCTCATTGCCTTCTGACCCCATTGTATCCACTTCTTTCTCATCACTTCCATTCTTTCTCGGGGACCAGGAACCCAGCCAGGCCTGGAGGGAGCAGCGTCGACTGTCCAGCTCGTCAGCCAGTGGCCAGTGGAACCCAACATCAGATTGGGTGAGGGACCTTCCCTGGAGGAGCTGGGGTCTGGGGTTTGGGGAGATGGCACTGAGGTGGGGCTAAGTCAGACCCCATTCTCATCCTGGGAACAGTTCAGTAAAGATGTGGAAGGGAATGTGTCTGAATGAAGGCATCTGAGACTGGAGGTGATGCTGTTTTGCAAGCATGCAGCCCTAAATTTAAATCCAATCACACACACACACACACACACACAAAACAAATGAAGGCCTTTGGTCTGGCACCTGGGCTGGGGACAGTCTTCCAGCTGGTGCAGGAATTTGGCCTTTCTCCGTCAGCTTCCCTACGTGCAGTACTGCTTCCCACTCCCTCTGTGCTCCCCAAGAGTCCCACACGTTACCCTGGAATGGGGATACTAAGTGTCCTACCTTGTCATATCCTCTTGAGGATTGAAAGGGGACAATCTCCCAAAAGGCACATGACACACACTGGCCTGCAGTACTGCTCCATGTGACCAAAGTCCCATTAGTTGCTGGGCCCTGCTTTGTGCTGAAGGTGGTGGGGAGGAGATGCACACTTTCTGCCCTGGGGAGCCAGGCTGCAGGTCAAGGTCAAGCGTGTCCTACAGTTCCAGCTCCCAAGGCCTCAGAGCCCTGTCCCTCTCACAGGTCCTCTCCTGGAAATCCAAGCTGCCGCTGCAGACCATCATGAGGTTACTGCAGGTGCTGGTTCCCCAGGTGGAGAAGATTTGCATTGACAAGTGGGTCTGAGGCTGAGCGGGCAGGTGGGCAGGGGAGGGGCCTGCCCAGGCTTGCGTGATGGATGATGCAGAGGGTAGGCTTTGGGGTTCCAGGATGAGCCCCGAGCCCCCTACTTCACGTGAACATGCTGGAGCCCCCTCATCTCCCCGTAGGGGTCTGACAGATGAATCGGAGATCCTGAGGTTCCTGCAGCATGGCACCCTGGTGGGGCTGCTGCCCGTACCCCACCCTATCCTCATCCGCAAGTACCAGGCCAACTCGGGCACTGCTATGTGGTTCCGCACCTACATGTGGGGTGTCATCTACCTGAGGTGGGCACTGTGGGAGACAGGCAGTTACTGTCTCCACTGGGGTCTGCCTGAGGGCCTGCCCAGCAAGGCTAGAGAGTCCTTCTATCTGTAGTGGGGTTACTGTCCAGAGAGTGAATCAAGGTGGCCTTGTCTGGTTGGGGTGGGACACCTGTCACCCAGGGTGGATGTTGGTTTGGGCTTTGTTGCCACCTAGCTCCTCCCTGGAGCCTTGGCTGCAAGGTGTTCCCCCGTGAAAAGTGACAGTCCACACTCCCTCTATAGGAACGTGGACCCACCCATCTGGTATGACACTGACGTGAAGCTGTTTGAGATCCAGCGGGTGTGAGGATGGACAACTGCAAGGCAGATGGGCCAGGAGGGCCAGGCCTGGTCCTGGATGTCCCTCAACCCAACGTTCCGAGCTTTAAGTGATCACTGTCAGGGCCTGGGGCAGGCAAAATGGCTGAGTCCCAGGTGGCAGGCCCCAGAGGCCCCTTGTAGCTGAGGATGAGGGGGACCAGCTCTGTGCCTGCCTCCCCTTCTCCCCCACCTCTAGGCTGGGATCCTAAGAGCCTCCTAAGTCCAGGGCTACAGACCCACCACCAGAGCCTCTGCCAATTCTGGCTTCCCCTTCAAGACCTGGTTCTGTGCTGGCCTCTCAGTGCCAGCCACTCATGTACTGGCCACCCCCAGAAGCCACCAGGTCACTATGCCTGTTGGGTCACTGTGCCCTAATGGGTTTGCCCCAGAAGAAGCCATGGTTGTCCCTCGAGGTACCTGGGCAGGGGGAGGAAGCTTTTCTGGTTGCCTAGCCTGAGACCACCCATTCTTGGCTTGCTTCCTGCCCAGGGCCCATGGGGAAAGGAGTGTGGTCCAGCTGCTAGCTGAGGAGGCTGGGCATGGCAGCCTGCAAAGCCAGACTGGAGCTCATGTATTTGAGGGACTTGCAGAGGGATATCGAGGGGCCCAGCTATACTCCCTGGGTCAGTGGGTGTAGCCTGACTGTTGGGGGCCTTGGGGGTTAGCTGCCAGTCCCTGCCCCACCCACTTTCTGGATGATGGGGGCCCCCTTCACCTGTTCTAGCTCTGGCCTCTGGGTCTCTGTCACCCTATCTGTGTCAGTACAATCTTTGCTCTGTACAATCGGTTACCTTATACAATAAAACCTCCCTCTCACACCCTGCCTCTATGCTTGGAATTGGGGGAGGTCCTAGGCTGGAGTTTTTATCTTTAGGGCTTCTGGGGACACTGCACCCCAGAGTTAGTCCTCTGAGGGCCCTTTACCCATGGCTGGGAGCCAGCATTTGTCATGTTCTCAGGTGAGACCATAGGATTGGACCCTATCACCTGGGCTCTGGCCACCGGGAGAAAAGGCCGCCCAGGAGAGGTGGGAGGCCTGACTCCAAGCCCCTGCGTGGTCTTGGGCAACCAGAGACTGATTTGGCAGCCCTTGGGCTTTGTTGCCAGAGCCTAGCTTCATGGAATTGGGGTCCAGGACAAGGCAAACCTCGGCTGCAGGGCCGGGCCGCACCCTGGGCCGCGCCCTGTGCACTGGCTGCTGCTTGCACTGGCTCAGGAAGATGGATGGGCTGACAGTTCTGTCCTCTCACCTTCCTGCCCCACCTGATGACTCAGAGGATCAGATCTCTAGGAATGGGGCCACCAGAGGCTACAGTGACCACTTGTGGTGAGCCCACTGCATAAAATCCCCAAGGCTCTGTACCAGAGAGAGGGTGGAAATGGGCGTTGCATGGGCCCTGACCCTGCTCTTCCCACCTTTTCATGTGGCTCAGACAAGAAAGGGCTGGGTTAGATCTCTTTTGCCCCAGAAACAGGACTCTCCTGGGCCACAGCCCTGCCCAGAACCATCCTTCTCACTATGCCTAGGGTAACAGTTCTGTCCTGGGGAACAAATGCCACAAAGCTCAAATAGAATCAATCAAACAAACAGGGTTTATGACAGCAGAAGAGAGCTGTTGAGCCCTGCCTGGCAGCTAATTAATGGGCTTGTTAGAAGACAGGGTGTGTGAGGGGAGGGGAGCAGGGCCACCTGCCAAGCTCTGTGCTCTGAGCACAGGACTCTGAGCTTTCAGGATGTCCTGGACCATGTTGGGACTGTGTGCCTCTCCCACAGGAGACCTGGCTGGGGCAGGGCACTCCTCTCCAACTCCATCATTCAGGCCTCACCCTTCCAGAGAGTAGTGAAAGGGGCCCTCGCCAGCCTCCCAGGGCGCCCCCTTGGCTGCTTGGCTTGTGTGATGAGGCACAGGGTAGGCCTATGCCAGGCCTGGATGTGGGTATCCAAAGCTCAGTGTTGAGGTCCTGCCCTTGATCTTGAGCCATAAGCAGTGTTCTGCCCTCTCGGCAAGGTTCTGGGGAGGGGGAGGCCTTGGGAGCTTGGCTGGATCTCTTCACCTCTTGGAAAGAGGAGTCTGCCCAGATACTCCGGGCTACCTTCTTCTGTGCCTTGGCACTTCAGGGTTCTGCTGAGGGTGGGCTTCCTGAACAGTGTCAGGCCCCCAAATAGACCTCCACCAGACCCCCGACAGAGTGCATGCGGTAGAAGACCCCCAAAGGCAGGCCAAAGTTGACGATGGTGAACCACGCCCGGTAGCCGTAGAAATCCTTTTCCAGGCCATTCTCAAACTCCGGGTGTATGCCAAAGGCAGGCATCATCCACAGCTGTGGGGAGAGAGGAGGGTGTTGGGGGGGCGGGCTCTCCTGCACCCTCAAGACACTCAGTCAGGGGAGGCATGCCCAGAACCTGTGACTCCTCTGGCACCACTCCCACCCCATCATCTTTGGTCTGTTGGAGCTAGCTCCTCTCCCCGCAAGTTTTTCTTGTTCCATTCCACAGAGGGCCTCAGCCACCTCCTTGGCTTCCCTGGGGCCAGCCTGAACTCCAGATGGGTCACAGGCCCCCAGGTGGCCTCCACACATGGCACAAAGCAGGGACTCCCAGCGAGCAAGCTGCTCTGCCAAGTTGGACTCCCCCATGCACTGAGCTCAGACACCCCTGTCCCTTCCCACCTTCCTGGCTCATCCTACACATGAATCCTTCTGGAAGACTGCCCTGGCCACAGGGTCCCATGCTCTCTTCTCTGAGCCCCTCTGCACTTCAGAGACAATTTATTATTCTCTGCCTGGACTAGGGACCTCACATCTGAGGGGTGTTCTTAGGGCTTTAAGGGTTTGGGACCAAACAACTGTGGGTTGGTCCAGCACTGCCACTTACAGGCTGGTCAAACAATCAAAGCTCATCTGTCCAGTGGGGACAGGGGATGCCTGTTGTGTGGAGTTACTGTGTTGATTCAAGGACAGGTGGTGATATTCCATGGAGAGGTAGGCCATGGAAGTTAAGTGATCACAATCAACATCTTCCACTAGGGTTTCTTTAAAAACAAATGAAACAGGGCTGGAGGTGTGGCTCAAGGGATAGAGCACCTGCCTAGCAAGTACCAAGCCCTGAATTCAAACCCCAGTACTGCCAAAACAAACAAATGACAAAACAGATACTTCTGATCTCTCCCTTTGACTGAGTTCACTGGTAATTCTCTGTTTCTCTGATGTTCTCCCCATCTAGACAGTAAACTTTCTGAGGGCAGAAATCTTGCAACTTTGTAAGAAGCACTTAGATATGTGCTCCACACAGATTCATTCCAGGCAGCTGGAAGGGATGTTGGTGGAGGAAGGGACAACACTCTCTGCTCTCAAGCAGCATGGAGCCAGTAGGAAAGAAGCATGTGATCTTGATCCAGCCCTTCCTGAATGAGGCTTTCTGGGTCTGCCTAGCCAGCATCCCCATCACCTGAGCCCTTGCCCAGCCACTCACTGTGATGTTGCAGAGGATGAGGAAGAGGGAGATCTCCTTGAGCATTCTCCGCTTCCAGTTGAGGTGGCTGTAGGAGTGGATGTAGGCCAGTGAAGCCCGCCTCAGGTCCTGGCCCAGCTCTAGCAGGGAGCCTCTGCGGGGAGGCTCAGCCTCCTGCTTCCCTGCCAGGCCTTCGGGCACTGCCTCCCAGAGTGGGCGACGGTGCAGCCCCTCGATGATGAAGAGGTTCTGAAGGATGTGCTGGAGGATGAGCAGTAGCGAATAGGCCAGGATGAGCTGGTTGAGCAGCTCGTGCGGGTGGGTGGCTACGATGGCCACAATGGAGAAGTAGGCAATGCCCATCTGGCCCAGCGCGGCACCCATCAGCAGCACCACGTCCAGGCTGCGGGTGGGGTTCTTGAGCGTGTCCAGCTCACGCTCCTCCAGCCCGTGGATGGCCGTGCCTGCCAGGCACGCCAGGCTCATGGCGGACAGGATGGCCGTGTAGAAGGCGTAGTAGAAGGTAAAGTACTGGCGGGCGATGTCAGGGCCACTTGCCGCGATTTGGAAGAGCACGAAGATGCACACACCGGCCACCAGTGCCAGCAGGCCCAGCAGGGGGCCAAAGATGGCCCCGTGCAGGTGGAAGGGTGGACTCCTGGGGTGGGCGCCCACGTGCCCTGCCAGGTGACGCCCCACGTTCTTCCACATGACGAAGAGCACGGCACAGCAGATGAGGCAGTACTCGGTGCTGAACGGGTACAGCATCAGGTAGCCCCTTCGGAAGACCTCGCACACTGTGGCATTGAGGCACAGGCAGGTGTTGGTGCCATTGCCTGGAAGGGGCCAGGGCCAGGAGGGGACAGACACTCAGAGGAAACTGGTGGAGGAATACCAGTCCTTCTCAACCCGTCCTGGAACATGTCAGAGGTAGAAGGGACCCGGTCAGCTGCTCATTTTACAGCCGTGGGAACATCTGAGACCCAGACACAGGGATTGGAAATCGCAAAATGGTCACTCCTTTACAAAGAGATTCAAGACTTCAGGTGCCAAGCTTAGGTAAAGCATTTAAAACATGTGGCTGGGTGTGATGGAGCACTGCTGGAATCCCAGCACCCGAGAGGCTCAGGCAGAGGAATCACGAGTTTGAGGCCAATCTGGGGTGTATAATGAGACCTTATCTCAAAGAAAAAAAAAGAACAAAACAAAACATGATGTTTCCAGTGTCAAATGTCATCTCCACAAATCACTTGCTGGGCAGGGCAAAGCTGTAATTTACAGTGGGGGACCTGGCTGCCACACCTGAGTGCAGCGACAGCCCTGAGCAGCCAGTGCACGCTAGGTAATCAGACTCAGCGCCGTGGGCACAGGAAAAGCCGCTCCTTGAAGCACCTGGGGATCTGCCAGTGCCCCAAATGCCCAAATGACACTGGGGCCACACTTCCAATTTCTAGGAACAGCAGGGAGTGCCACCCCTAGGAAGCAAGTGGGGAGCCTGGATGTCATCAGGGACAGACACCTGAGAGTTAACCAAACTTTGCACCCTTAAGGCAACGGAGACAGAGCCTGGGCTAACACGAGAAAGTGGGTACAGATTCTTATTGAGGACTGGATGATGAATTGTGTTGGCCATTACAACAGCGTGTGGTAACAGAGGGAAATACACCGCGCGTGCGCGTGTGTGTGTGTGTGTGTGTGCGCGTGTGTGTGTGTGTGTGTGTGTGTGTGTGTGTGTGAGACTGGGGTTTGAACTCAAGCCTTTGCACTTGCAAAGCAGGCACTCTACAGTTTTTGTTTTCTTTTGCTTATGTTTTGAGATGGGGGGGGGTCTCACTATGTAGCCCAGGCTGGCCTTGAATTCTCAATTCTCCTGTCTCAGTCTCCTGAGCCCTGGAATTACAGGCATGAACCACCATGCCTGGCTCTTCTTTTGTTGTCATTGTTTTGGTGGCACTGGGGACATTTTTCTTGCTAGGCAGGTACTTTACCACTGGAGCCATGACCCTAGCCTTTTCTGCATTGGTTATTTTTGAGATAGGGTTTCAGTTCCCCACCCCCAGCCAACCTGTGCTGACCAATGTAGCTAGGATGACAGGCATGTCCTACCATGCCCAGTTACTAGTTGAGATGGGGTCTCTCAAATTTTTCGCTCGGGCTGGCCTCAAACTGAGATCCTCCCAGTCTCTGCCTTCTGAGTAGCTGGGATTACAGGTATGAGCCACTGCACCCTGCTCTTACGCTTCTTTTTATAGAGCCGCATACTAAAATGTTTGAAATAAAATGCCATGTTTTCTGCAGC